CCCGGGTGCCGCCATTGGAGGGATGACACCAAAATGACTGACAGTCATTTTGGTGCCACGCCCTAAAAAAAGCTGGGCACTCACGGACCGAGAGCCAGACAGTGTCAGGAGAGAGGAGTGGACCCGGCGGCATACCTCATCCCGCTGGGTGAACGTCCCCCTCCAATAAGACGACCGGGCATGCGCGATGACGTCACGCGGGTGTCACCCAGTCTCCGCTCCGGGTGTCACCCAGTCTCGGGACGCCTCTGATGTGTGCACCCCCGACTCTACACTGACCAGCAGCTGTCTTTATATTAGCTCCCTGCATTCCCGAAGGAGGCTGGTGCAGACTTTGGTGGTCCCGGGAACACGCGATCGTGTGCGGGTGCACACACAGCGGATGCCGCACAGCCCTGTTGATTTCAATGGGGTTACGTCCGCGTGGCAATAAGTTTTGCGACACACACCTTGCGCACTCGTGCGCGATTGCATGGACGGTATTGTGGCTGGAAACCGCGCAATCTGCCTGGGGCGCCATTAGAAAATAATGGCACCGCCAGCGCGATCGGCGGTGGTGTGCGATTCCGTGACCGTGCGGTTTCCTGCACGATGACTGCGTGGTCGCGGATTGCCCAGGCGCGATCCTGGCCTAAGCACTGCAGCCTGTGCAACATTCCCAAAGATCAGAGCCGCTCGGTGTTCTTGTTACCTGCATCCCGGGGATCATTTACCTTCTCGCTAGTCCGAAATCGATAATTTTGATTTGGTTTCCAGTTCGGCTGACACACAAAATATTTTCAGGCTGAAAGAAAAAAAAAAGAAGGCGGTCACATTAATATCGGCCACACAGGTCAGAGAGTTTTATATTGATCAGTCACATTGAAGTCTTTATATTGAACCAAGGGTAGCCAAACTCCTACCCTCCAGCTGTGATGAGACTACAAATCCCATGATGCATCTCTCTCCGGCAGTCATGTCTGTGGCTGGGAGAATCTTGCAATGCCTCATGGGATTTGTAGTACCACCACAGCTGGTGGAACCGGTTTGGCTACCCCTGGAACCAAATCCTGCTAAAAATTAATGGCGGAGATCCTACAGATGACCTCAGGGGTCATCCATAAACGTTGAGATGGAATACACGTTCGGGAGCTGTTCTACCTGCTACAGGATTTCTATGTTTGTCCCTCCAGCCCTGAGATTTACACAGCTCTGCAAAGCAAAACAAACGACAAACGCACTCAACAATTTGTTACCAGTTATACAGTAAGGTGCACATGAACACAGCTCTGCCACACAGCGCAGCCCTGCCTGGCAGAGACTTGACATTTCCTTGCTACAGTTAAAAGTTTTAAGCCATTTCAAATGCTGATGAAATCACTTACAATGGATGCTGTTACTTGATGCAGAATCAACTGATCCCCTGAGCACTGGCCCTGATATCCTGTTTTAGGGTGCCTCCTTTCCCTTGCAGGGTCCTATGGAGACACCCTTGTGTGTGATAAGTAAGCTGTGTGTGTCTCCAGAAGCATACAGGCACAGCAAGGCAATCCACTCACCTCCTCCCTTTTCCTCTGTCCTCCCTTCTCCATGCTAGTACGGGGTTTGTACAGCAGCTGACCTTGCTATGTAGTGCAAGGTCAGCTGCTGCTCTGAGCTTGTACTGGGCAGGAAGTTCAGGGAAGCCGAGCTGAGAGAGTCGGAGCTGATCAGAAACATGATGACTAAGTGCTTGGGGGGAAAAAATGAAGAAATAACCCCCCCACCACCACCACCACCACCTACATTGTGTACTGCTGCATAGTACACAATGACAACAGGATTTGTGCCCAGCCACTTGCCGTGTCAATCTTGGACAGGGTAAGACGTGGTGACAGGGTCTCTTTAAACCCCACACAGCTGTGTCTCTCAGTCAGCGTGCCTTACAAACTGAACATGATGGATCCAGTCTATAATAAATGTTTATTTATAACATGAAAATCTCCCAGAAAACAATTAGGGAAACGATACGGAATTCTATATAAACTTGTAAAACGTCAAGAAAAAAAAAAAGGTGTAAAAAAAAAAAAGCCAAAATACGAAATGGTTCAGAATCCCCCCCAAAAATCTAAGGAGTTCTATTCCAAAAAAAGTCAAATCAATAAAGCAGAATTTATCGGAATGTGTGAATCTCACGTCGCATGTTTCCACGTACGGCTCCAAATATAAAATCGCCAGCTGGCGTCTATTTCTGAATCAAGTAAACAAAAATGCCAACAGATGACGCCGGACATTAGACATCGGCGGCGGTGAAAGCGGCGGCGGCAGCAGCAGCATGCGGACAACCAACGTTCGGGAAGCGCTGAATGACTGCTCGGATTTGATCGCCTCACCTTCAGGTCTAGGTGGAGTATATACTGCTGGTGCACGTAGTAGATCCCCTCGCAGATCTGTTTGGTGAACATTACGGCGTCTAGTTCTGTCAGGTGGAAGTTCTCGTCGGTGATCCGGTCAAATAATTCCCCGCCGTCCAAGCTCGCAAGATAAAAAGATCAAAGTTAATGTAAGAAAAAAAAAATCACCTTGATTTCCCCTATGTTTTGTCTCAGCGCTGCTGATCTCCTGCAACTGTTTGTTGTCTACGAGCTAAGCATTTGTCAGGGAGGAGCCCATGTGACAGGGTGATTGCCCATATGGTGAACAATAGCTTGATTGAAATCCCCTCTGGCGTATGACCTGAATGTATGCAAGCGCCATCAGATGGAAGGAGGTCAGCTACAGCTCAAGGAACCCTTAACAATCCCTGGAGGAACCCTAGCGTTCCATGAAACCCTGGTTGAAAATGTCTTCTTTAGAGGATCCCTCATAGGATTTCCCATATGGTGAACAATAGCTTGAGTGAAATCCCTTCTGGCTTGGAACCTGGATATATGCAAGGACCATCAGATGGGAGGTCAGTTAGCTACAGCTCAAGGAACAACCCCTGGAGGAACCCTAGTTCAGAATGGCTTTTTTAGAGGATCACGCATAGGATTTCCCATATGGTGAACAATAGCTTGATTGAAACCCCTTCTGGCGTTGAAGTTGGATATATGCAGGCGCCATCAGATGAGAGGAACCCTTAACGACCCCTGGAGGAACCCTAGCATTCAATTAAACCCTGGTTGAGAATGGCTGCTTTAGAGGATCCCCCATAGGATTTCCCATATGGTGAACCAAAATCTTGAAATCCCCTCTGGCGTTGGACATAGATATATGGAGGCGCCATCACATCAGAGGTCAGTCAACCACAGCTCAAGAAATCCCAAACAACCCCTGGAGGAACCCTAGCGTTCCATGAAAGCCTGGTTGAAAATGCCTTCTTTAGAGGATCCCTCATAGGATTTCCCATATGGTGAACAAAAGATTGGAATCCCCTTTGGAGTTGGAGCTGGATATATGCAGGCGCCATCAGATGAGAGGTCAGTCAACCACAGCTTCAAGGAACCCTTAACGACCCCTGGAGTAATCCTCGCGTTCCATGAAACCCTGGTTGAGAATGGCTGCATTAGAGGATCTTCCATAGAATATCCCATATGGTGAACAAAAGCTTGACTGAAATCCCTTCTGGAGTGTGGAAAGACCCTTCCAATCAGATCTTGGACAGCAATATTCTATATGCCTGACATTATACATACTATTCCATGATCAAGGTCAAGTCATTTTTGCACTCGAAGGCATCATACAACTGTATCAGGTTCACATGGTTCAACTGGTTCATGACATTAATTTCATTCTTCACCTCGTCCTGGAGAGGAAAAGGGACAAGTTACCATTTGATGACATTTCTATTCCCCCGTACACGGCGAGTATATATACCATTAATTAATCACGCAGCCTAAGTAGACAACATCTCCATCCTGACAATGCTCAGGGCCCCGGTGCCCTTTTCCCAGCCCTCCCATCTCGTCCTCTAACGAGGAACTGACAACGACTCCCACCGAGTGGCTCATAACTATGCAAATGTATCCCACAGTTGTTTGACAGGATCGACCGCGCTGCATCTCCGTGCTAAAGGCCAGCACTTCAGGAGGCGGCTGAGATTATACGGCATGGTTTGGTTTCAAATATTGAAAATGCATTAATGAGTTGTCTGGACTGGGAACGGGGTTGAAGACAAATAACAGATCCTGTTTGTATTTTAAAACCAAAAGCAGGAACCGGTTCATATACATTGTATACAAATATATGTTCTGATAAAGGCACGGCCCCCCCTTTTGCATTGGGTACTGTAGAGCAGTGGTTCTCAACCTGTGTAACCTTGGGACTCACATTTGTCCACGGTCAGGGCTGGATTAACTCTCTCTCTGCTGCCCCAAGGACAGGTTCCTCAATGTGCCCCCCTACCCGCCAAACCCCCTCCTATGGAGAATGGCGGACCTGCAGGCTGCACACAAGTGATCTCGGCGACATGGCCGGGATCACTTGTACAAAACAAGCAGTGCCCCCCCTCCCCCCTCTGTACATTTAGCCCTGCTTGCCCAAAGCAGGGCTAAATGCAGAAAACAACTACCCGCCCGGCGCCTGGAACTGCATGTCCCGGGCATCGGGAGATAGGAATTCCACACCCCTGCTGCCCCTCTACTCCCTGCTGCCCCAAGGCCGGGCCTTGGTTGGCCTTGTGGGAAATCCGACCCTATCCACGGTCATTAAGTCGCGACCCAAGTTGCACTGCAATGCTCCATGTTGCGGTACTGCGCTTTCCGGTGCAGGCGATCGAATTGTGGGTGTGAGGTGTGTTTTGGGTTGCCATTACGGAAACTGGAGTGGATCCTCAACCTGGGGTCCAGTGTGGGCTGCTGTGCTGTGATGGAGCTCCATTCGTATGTGTATTGCTTGTAAAGCATCCGTGCGCACCCGTAGAGGTGCCGGGAGCCAGAATATGATGAGCTGTAAGCAATGTGCGTATGGATGGAGCTCCCTTGCGGCACCTCAAATCGACACTCGGCACTGGGCATCATATTTTTGAATGGCTGCTAGGCCACGAGAACTGACAGTGCTTCTCTAGAGGGAGGGCTGAGGATCTTCTCACCTAGAAAAGTGGAAGGCATGTGGCGACCCACTGGACATGGGGTCACCACCCACTTTGGGGTCACGACCCACCAGTTGAGAACCAAGGCTGTAGAGCATTGCAACTGCGATCAGTAAATTGGGGGTGCAATGCAGACTGTTCCTCCAGGACCGTACCCAGAGGTTTTCGGGATGGAGGAAGTAATTAATGGACTACAGGTATTCCATTGAGACCCTCCATAGTGACAGATAGGACTTGTAGTCTTTCTATTCACAGATCCTGCAAATGGATGATGTGACTGTGGCACAGCAATGCCGAATTAAAAAAGTACACAGAAGCCTGTGATTCTGGTAAGGAGGGGGGGGAGGGTGGAGGGTTGGGGGCTGGGGAATGGCACCATGTTCCACCCTAAATATGGGTGTAACACAAAACATAGGGGTCTATTTATAAACAGTTTGCAGAGCCATCCCTGTCAATGTTCGTTCTGTACGAATAGAGGCAAGAACGAACATTCTTAGTACATTTCCTTTCTAGGTGAAATGCAATGTAATGTAATACTGCATTATGGCCACTAGATGGAGCTAAAGAGCATAGGAAATAAATACTTCCCATTATGCTCCTCAACACCGTCTAGTGTCCATAATGTGGTGTTGCATTACATTCGACTTCAAAAAACAATATACTAAGTTTGTTTTTGCCTTTATTCGCACAGAATGAACCTTCACAGAGATTCCCAGGGTGAATGGCTCTGTGATTTGTTTATAAATAGACCCCTATGGTATCAAAGGTGGAATTAGCCTTTGAAGCAGATCTAAACCTAGTTACTAACATTACATATTTACCATGTCAAAATCGTTTTTCAATATTAAAATTCCATCTCCCTTTAAAAAAAATAAGAATAACGCCCCCCAACCAGCCATTCTTACACAATGTTTAATTTTTAGGAAATCTCAGTCAATGACCGCTGTGTGTACGTACCCTGTCCTTGGGCGGTTTAACTCTAATGATTTTGGCGGCGAGTCGCAGTCCGGAGGAAATCTCTACACACTTGTGGACTTGACCAAAGCGTCCGCTGTTAATAAATGTATTGAGATAATGAGCGCAACACAAACTGAAACACATGAATGTAAAGGAGATATCACAATTCTTCACTTCTTGACTTTTCCAACCGATGTCACCAGAAAATAGTAAACTTATTTAATATAAAGATTTGGTTCTGAAGTATCAAAGTGGACCTTTACCCCCTTTCACGAAAAATCACATCAGCATGTAGCTCCGGCTACTGATATTAAACATCTTACATTCATTAGTTAAACATTTTTTGCATTTAGTTACAATTACTGTTTTCCCACTTCCTGGTTGAGTGAGGCACTGGTGATGTAGACCTGGCCTGGTTGAGTGAAGCACTGGTGATGTAGCCCTGACCTGACTGAGTGAGGCACTGGTAATGTAGCCCTGACCTGGTTTAGTGTCAGGCACTGGTAATGTAGCCCTGACCTGGTTGAGTGAGGCACTGGTGATGTAAGCCTGGCTTGGGTGAGTGTTTAGTGTCAGGCACTGGTAATGTAGCCCTGACCTGGTTGAGTGAGGCACTGGTGATGTAAGCCTGGCTTGGGTGAGTGAGGCACTGGTGATGTAAGCCTGGCTTGGGTGAGTGATGCACTGGTAATGTAGCCCTGGCCTTGTTGAGTGAGGCACTGGTGATGTAACCCTGGCCTGGTTGAGTGAAGCACTGGCGGTGTAGCTCTTGCCTAGTTGATTGAGGCACTGGGGATGTAGCCATGGTCTGGCTGAGTGAGGTACTGGTGATGTAACCCTGGCTTGATTGAGTGAAGCACTGGTGATATTGCCCTGGCCTGGTTTAGTGAGGTACTGGTGATGTGGCCCTGGCCAGATAAAGTGAGGTACTGGTGATGTAGCCCTGGCCTGGTTCAGTGAAGCACTGGTGATATTGCCCTGGCCTGGTTGAGTGAGGTACTGGTGATGTAGCCCTGGCCTGGTTCAGTGAAGCACTGGTGATATTGCCCTGGCCTGGTTGAGTGAGGTACTGGTGATGTAGCCCTGGCCTGGTTCAGTGAAGCACTGGTGATATTGCCCTGGCCTGGTTGAGTGAGGTACTGGTGATGTAGCCCTGGCCTGGTTCAGTGAAGCACTGGTGATATTGCCCTGGCCTGGTTGAGTGAGGTACTGGTGATGTAGCCCTGGCCAGATAAAGTGATGTACTGGTGATGTAGCCCTGGCATGGTTCAGTGAAGAAATGGTGATGTAGCCCTGGCCAGATAAAGGTAGGTACTGGTGATGTAGCCTTGGCCTGGTTGAGTGAGGCACTAGTGACGTAGCCCTGGCCTGGTTGAGGGAGGCACAGGTGATGAAGCACTGGCCTCCTCCCAGGACCTAAGGGTCATCATTCTTCTTTGGCTTTCATCAATCACCAAGCCCTGGGAAAGGTAATGTTTGGAAGCCCCTGAAAGGAGTTGGATCACTTTATATGATGAAATAAACCATTTTGGACTCTTAACAAAGAGTGTAGCACCTCATTTTTATGTTTTGTGGACTCAAACTAAAGTGTCAGGCTCAAGGCAGGTTGCAGCTAAATAGGAGAAAAGTATGACTATCGGGTAAGTCTGCACCCTTACAAAGATATCAGCCTGACTATTCAGATTTGTGCACAAACAATGACAGTAAATATTTAAGACAGGTTCTCTTTAAAGTGATGGGAAGAGGGTTGGGAGGGGGAGGGGGGGTGGAAAACCACTTTAACTTCTTTTACAAAGCTGCAGCAATGCTTTTCCAATCGTGACATTACCAGCGGCACTAACGGAAAAAGTTGCGCAATCCACTTCTGAACAAAGGGCGCGTTCCTGTGTACAAGGCCGGAGCTCGGGGATGTTTTGGGATTCAGTCAACGTGCCGTTGTTATCACGAATTATAAATAGCCGCTGCCGGTAAACACGATCCCAAGACCAGAGGCATCGCTCTCATCTTACTGACGCTTTACAGGGGATTAGACCTTCACCCAGCTGTTCCACGTTACAGAATGTGACCGCCGTCCATTTAAATGCCTCATGAGAACACAATGCAAATATATAGGCCGCATGCTAACATTCCGATGGCAGCCACAACGTATAATGTAGTGTGAGCCTCACTGAGAGCGCAACCTATCAATTCACTAGAGACCGGTGACATCAATGAGAGCGCAACCTATCTGTTCACTAGAGACATGTTGCGCTCTCAGTGATGTCACCAATCTGTTCACCAGAGAGCGGTGATATCACTGAGAATGCAACCTATCCATTCACTAGAGATCGGTGATATCACCGAGAACGCAGCCTATCCATTCACTAGAGACCGGTGATGTCACTGGGAATGCAGCCTATCCATTCACCAGAGACCTGTGACATCACTGACAGTGCAACCTATCTGTTCACTAGAGACAGGTTGTGCTCTCAGTGATGTCGCCAATCTGTTCACCAGAGAGCGGTGACATCACTGAGAGCGCAACCTACCCATTCACTAGAGACTGGTGACATCACTGAGAATGCAACCTATCCATTCACTAGAGACCAGTGACATCACTGAGAGCGCAACCTACCCATTCACTAGAGACTGGTGACATCACTGGGAATGCAGCCTATCCATTCACCAGAGACCAGTGACATCACTGAGAATGCAGCCTATCCATTCACTAGAGACCGGTGACATCACTGAGAATGCAGCCTATCCATTCACTAGAGACCGGTGACATCACTGAGAATGCAGCCTATCCATGCACTAGAGACCGGTGACATCACTGAGAATGTAGCTGTCTCCTGGGGCTGACCGGTACACTTTAATGATATGCACTAACATTAGAAACGTGTGCGTGTGGTTTGGGATTTGTAGCCAACCGAGTGAATAATCTCGGCGAGAGGGAAAGATTCTGTTTTCCATGTCGGGCTCTCGGGTGACATTTATAAAGAAGCCAAAACAAACAAGGTGTAGGAGCTTCAAACAGATTGTGTTCAGGATTAAATAGCTTAAAGGGAAAGCCTCCCTGTTCTCTGTATACATTTGGCTGAGGACGTCTGAGATGTGGAGTTTGATTAAAGAGTTGTGCTCTGAGGACATTGGGGTTCATTCTCAGGTAAGCACCCCGGAAGGTTCATTCTGTGCAGATATATGCCAAAAGGAATGTTCTATAATTTGTTTTGAACAAAGTAATGTTTTTTTGTGTGTGTAATATCACATCGTGGCCACTAGATGGTGCCGAAGAGCATAGAAAATAAATACCTATTTCCTATATTTATTAGCGTCCTCTGGTGGCCATATTGCCGTATTACATGAAAAACATTAAAAAATGCATTACGCCAGTAGAGAAAAAAAACTAAAAGAACATTCCTTTTGGCAAATATGCGCACAGAGCAAACATTCACAGATATTTGCAGGACGAATGGCCCTGTGGATAGTTTGTAAAGGTATTTTATATAGCACCGACAATTTATGCAGTTGCACATTCACATCAGTCCCTACCCTCAATGAGCTTACAATCTAAGGTCCTTACCTCACATACATACATAGAGGGCCAACTTAGAGAGGAGCCAATTAACCTGCCAGCATGTCTTTGGAGTGTGGTAGGAAACTGGACTATCCGGAGGAAACCCACGCAAGCACAGGGAGAACATGCAAACTCCTTGCAGATAGTGACCTGGCTGGGATTCGAACCAGGGACAGTGTGTCCCCCCTCACCCCATGGCTGCAAGGCAGCAGGCGCTAACCACTACACCACTGTGCTGCCCCTAATACTTTTCATCATAAACGGGATCATCTCCAAGGCCTGTAGGCGCACAACATTTTCCTTCAGCGGTTCTCAGGATCAGGACAAGATATAGTTTTCCAGAAAAACAGGCATCTGTAAAAATATACCGCTTCGTATTTTTATACCACACATGTACCCTAAGCGTACAGGAGAGGGAGGAGCCTCCTGACCTCAGGGGCTCAAGAACAGCTTCCTGCTTCTGGAGCCCCTTCTGATATGTTGTATTGGAGAGATGTAGGATGATAACTCTCATCTTGGGTTAGTAATGCATAGGCATAGATTCTGCTGCACCGTGATTGGTTGAGAATTGTCCAACTTACCCCCCGAGGACTTCATGCTGGCAGACTGTGTAGCACGATGATAATATGGCCTGCTTAATGCTGACTATCCTGTGGTTGAAAGGTGCAGGGGGCGGCGGGCAGTCATCTACAGCGAGACAATACATAACAAGATAGGAGGTTAGGTCAACTCCATAACAATTGTATGGCCAAAATATTTGTAAGGTAATGCCCCCTTTCTTGTGATCCCCCCACCACTGCATAGCATTAGTGGGTGGGGCATCATTCGTCAGAGGCAGGAGTTCTGAAGACCCCGTGCCCAGGGCCGGATTTACTCTCTCTGCTGCCCCAAGGCCGAGTTCCTCAATGCGACCCCCCCCTCTCCGCCAACACCCCACCACCAATGGAGAATGGCAACCAGATGGTGGGGATGGCAGAGTCTTAATTTTTTTTCTTTTTTTGTTTAATTTTTCTTTTTTTTT